GGGTTGAAAACACCAGCTTCCTCCCATTTTTGACATTTCATATATTAAGCCATGTAAACAAAGCGGCAACTTACTATCCAGGAGGCTCTGAAGAAATTTCCGGAGTGGGGCTGACTGCTGAGCTCTGTAAACATCAAAAAAAAAAAAAAAGTGGATATGATTTATTTGGACTCCAATATTTCAAGCCAAGGGGAAAAGAGAGAAATCCCTTTCCTTTCCTGAGTTAGATCAGAACCTCTGGGAGCTGGGGAGCCTGGCTCTCGGCGCTGGTGGAGGGTTGTGCCCTTTCCCGGGGAGCATTTCTGGGCAAGTGGGTGTTCTATTTTTCCCTGGGCTTTTGCCTCCCAGTGGTTGCCTCCAGGGCTCTCTGGGTGGGTCAGAGGATGGCCTCCTGGTTTACATGTACCTTCTGTTGCAGGCCCCCCGGGACAGAATGGCCCACACTTTGACCAACATGCACTAGTGAAGTGGGCAGCACACCCTCCACCAGCTTACACCAGCCCTCAGCCCCCCTGCCAACCCACCACAGGCTTCTTCATGCGCCCAGATGCCACATCCAGAGAGAGGGCCACCCAACACTACAGGAACAGAGAGTACACAAGTGCATTTTAAAAGACCCTGTGCGTTTAGATCATTTGTTTGCCTCTGCAGATTTAGAAGTGTAAAAAGGGGGAGAAACACAGTTTCACAAAAGCTATTAATGCCCATCTCAGCCTGAATGAGGGAACATTTTATGAAGTTTCAGGCCACTATGCAAAAGGAAGAAAACAACCGAGAGCTATATGCAGAGAAAGAGTAGCATAATTGCGTAATTTAGGGTTTATGTTGTTGTTTTGGCATGAAAATGGCAAAGCATTCAATATATTTGCTTTTAAAAGTATTGTGGTAGTTGAATAAATCAATGAAAAAGTTAAGGTCTAAAGATACTCCTAGCTCTAATGACCGTTTTAAGGAAAACAGCAATTCAGAGGAGAGAGCTGAGGAAAGGAGAGAAAGAGAAATACCGGGGAAAGAAAAGGAAGGAAGACTATAAAAGAGGGAGGAGGAGGAGGAGGAAAGGCAACCTGTATCAGGGATGCAGCCACCTGGCCCGCTGCCTGCTGGAACACCACCCTCAACCTGCAGGGTCCTTTCATTTCTGAGGGCACCTCTGCTCCAGGACGATGCCTCTGCACCCTCTACGGCCCCATTATTCCTCAGAGAAGGCACTGCTCTTACCTTCACATTCATCCTTCCAGCCCTTTGCCTGCCCTGGTTTCTCCCGTCCATCCTCTCTCCTTGAGTCTCCCATCTTGGCACTCAGACTCCCATTCTGAGTCTTCACCCACCCCTGTGGACGATGCCCTAGTCTCCATCTTGGAAAAACTTTTGCATGGTCCTGCTGAGTCCTCTGGGAACATCCCCCTTCCTTCCTTCCACGATCACATTTTCCATCAATGCTGCACCCCTGGGGGATCCCCTGACTCCTCACCACATACTCTAGCTCCCATCCACTACTCACCCAGCAACCTGCAAAGTTTTTGAAACCTCTTGGTTATCGAATCCATTGACTTTTCCTCAAAGTCTATTTCTGGGACCTCTCCTTTTGCTCCACTACTCGCTTTTCTTCCTACCTCTCAGAACTGTTCTTTCTCTGACCCTCCCCCTTCTTCTTCCACTCCACGTCATCCAACGTCCCAATGGGTAGTGAGTTGTTGGTCTCATCCTCTCAGCATGATGCTCCCTTCAACCTTTCATCTACTCCCAGGTCGGGTGTCTTCGTTTGCTCCCAAGACGTCAACAATCACTTGTCTTCAGGTGACTCCAGTTGACTTTATGAGCCTCTGCCTCTCTCACGAGACCTAGTCCTACATTTCCAACTGTCTTCTGGACAGTCCCTATGTGATACCCAACCAACACCTCAAGAGCTAGTTATCTAAAACCAACTCCATCATAACTCTGCATCGATTTTCTCCTCACCTTTCTTATGTGACATACTGATGTCCCCATTCTTCCAGATGCCTGGTCAAAACTCTAGAATTGTCTCCATCCCGTCCCCACAATTCTTTGTTTTTTCACACCCATTGGTTAAAATGTCCCACCCTGGTTTCCTCTGCGATCTCTCACATTCGCCCTTCCCCTCCCTTCATGCTGGTGCCGCTGGAATATGGGCTCTCACCACTACGTGCCTGGATACGGTAGCCTCCTTGCCCTCTCAGCCTCCAACTGGAGGTTTTCCCTTCGATTCAGCCTCTTAGAGTGATAACCACAACCTCCCTAAAGCCACCTGAATGAAATCATTGGTCTGAGGGCAAAATCAATCATGTCCTTAATCATATTTTCTGAGCCTCTACAGTGCAGGGTCAACACTCTTTCCCAAACCTACCTCTCACTATTTTTTCTATTGCAGCTGAATTCTACTTTATTCCTTGAATACATCTTAAACATGTTCACGTCTGTGCTCTTTACAGTGCCTCAAATGGATGTCCCCTACTTTCACCATACACCTAAGTTCATCCGTCCTTTAAGATCTCATCTAAGTCCTCTGAGTGTCTTTCCTGGTTTTCCACGAGATGTCTCTCTCTTACGACACTTAGAGTCCATACTATTCATTTAGCCCTTAGCAGGCACTGCTGTGTACTGTTGGAAATCTTTCCTTTATGAGTGTGAATAAACTGTCATGTTCCTGAAGGCAAAGTCCATTTTTTAGTGCTTATTTAGAACCTCCCTCAGCATGTCTCCCTCAGCACACATTAGGGACTAATGAGTGACAGGTAACTGAACCAATGAGAAGATGATTCATTTATGCATCAGACATTTCTTTGTGTCCACTCTGCCTCCGGCAGGGGTCTAGGTACTGGAAGCCACCAGGGCTTCAGGGAGGTTGCAGTAAGTTCAGTAGTTCTCTAGCTGCCTCCCATCCTCATGTCTTACAGAATCACTCATTACTTTGGACTACTGTGAAAAGTGCCCCCGATTCATTTCTGGCTGACCTGTAATAGTGCACCCACCGTGCCCCAGCTCATGTTAGGACTTAGTTCCAACAGCTGTCACTCTAGAACTAGCTCAGACCTTCAATTCCACAGTGGTTATAGCTAGTTTCAGGCTCCACCCTGGTTGGAAACAGACCCCCTTTTCCCACCCACCACCTCTGTGCCTCAGTTGTGTTCACTATGGCTCACGTTGTGTGCTTCCTCCAAGTTCTGAAGGGGGCCTGGGCCTAACCGCTGGCCCCTGCTGGCTTCCTCACCCTTCGCTGACTCTGGGTTCCCAAACCCCAACTCCTCTGATCTGCTTGCAGTTCCTTGGCGTCTGGCTCTCTTATTCTAGCTCCTGTCCTTCTCCCTGGCTGCTGCAATGCCTGCTTTCTTTCCCCTTCCTTGGGTTGTTATCTTTAGCGCTCACATGACTTCTGGTACCCAAGTCACTCATGCTGATTGTCTGACCTCCCCTTGTCTCAGTTCTGCATAAATAATACATAATCCATTCACATTTTCCACCTTTCCTGCCATAGCTTGTGGGACCTTCCTAGCTTCTTCAGCAGTGCCTTCATTCCTTTTTTATTTGCTATAAAGATCTCATTTCCTTGTAAGTGTCTCTCTTGTTTTGTCAGGGATCCTGGGGGCAGTTCTCCCAACACTGAGTATTTTTCATCCTCTTGGAACCCACTTACCTTGGACTCTCTCCCTCTCTCCCTCTCTCTCTCTCTCTCTGACCTATCCTTTACTAACCCACATTTTGACATAGCTCCATTTAAAAATATCAGTGTAGGTTGCGTTTCAAATGCTTGTTTGTGGCCAGGCTGTCTGACCTCTGGAGTGCATTTTTTCCATTGAGAACTTTCTGACCTTTCACACTGCAACTACTACTACTCTGACAGTGCCACACATGTTAGAGGCACTCAAGTCACGCTGCTATGCTTTCAAAAATGATCTCTGAGATTGGTACCTCCCAGGGCTGCAAAAATTACAAGGAAATTGCCCCCCCCCAAAAAAAACGACTCCCTGAAAATTCAGAGGAGGTATAATGAGGCAAAGGAAGGGAAGTTAAAAGCGTCACCCCCTGTAAGCAGAGGAAGAGAATGAGAAGGGAAGGAGGGAGCAGTTTAAATCACCAGCCACCCCGCATATATTTTGAAAAGCTCCCTTTAAGGAGATGCCAAGCTCAAAAGAAACCCAGGCATAAATTAAGTTGAGGGGGACGGGGGAGCCAGAAATCTAAATCAGGAGTCAGGAAGCCATGCAGCTTAAAAATAACCCACATCACATAACCATTTATCACCTCAGCTTCATAAAAAACCATAGAACAAAGAAGAAAACAAAACAGTTTGAAAAGGAACTGATGGCAGGAGAAAAACTCAGAAATACCTGTGACAGGTTTGCACTGGGTGCCTTATTAAGCGTCTCCATTTTTTCTAAATCTGCCTCTAACTCTGTGTGGCAGAGGTTGAGATCTTTTTCTAGATTAGTCTGGTTCAAGAAAGAAAAGATGGGAAAGAACGTTTTAGTTTAGAGGAAAGGCAGAGAGAATGGAAGGTTAAGCTTGAAAAATGAATTTTTTTTTAGTGTTCTATTTTAATAAGGCAGAGATGGCATGGTTAAAACACAAGAGCTCACTGGAAATTAGTTAAAGCCATGAGAACAGAGAATGTAACATTAGGCACTGAAAATATAAATCCTGAAGTAATCAGAGCTTCAAAACTCTATTCTACTTGCTAAAGAGAACTACAAAAACCTACCTTGAAGGAAATACCTATGTTTTCTCTTTTCAGAGTATGGTGACTGTATATCAGAAGAGTAAGTCGTTTGTTTAAAAAACAAAATCTCTAAACATCAGTCTAAGTCTTAGAGACTTTGTTAAATAGTTTTAGCACCAAGCCAAAAAAAAAACCAAAAAAAAGTATTAAGTTAAAAAAAAAAAAGTCATTTAAGAGAAAGAAAAACCCCACAACACACTCACACTAACCAGGCTAGAGAGCACACACACAGCCCACAGAGGAGGCACGGAATTACCTTTCTATCCTCTCTAGGAAGGATAGAGCAGTCTCCAGGAGTATAATCCCATATCTTTTTGGGAGGCTGACGGGAAGCAGAGGAGGAAATGAAGAAATGAGCATAAAGACATAAAGACAAACATGGAGGCTGGCTCAAACAAAGAGGGGCACACTGGGAGAATCGTATCAACACAGAAAGGTGAACTAAAAGCAACGGAGGGGGCGCTAACTGGGCGTTCTCTCTATGTCTCTGTCTCAACAGTACATCATTGTGGGAGTCCAAATATTGAAAACTTAAAAGAAGACACAAAGGAAAAATAAAAAAAGCATTAACACCAATTTGAACCAAAATAGAAACTTTAAAACTCCTCATTGTTCCTTTCAAACTAAGATCAACACCGAGATTCTACATTTGTGAAGCGGTCTTCTCCACTGTACAATTCATGATGTGTTAATAAATGCGTGAATTTGAAGATTTGGCCAATGGAGGGTAACTTGAACTACATGTGTTTTCTGTGGTCTGTGGCAATGAAATTCAAGTACAAAATGGGCGCTAAATTTAGTACCATGTAACTAAACAACTGTACCAGACAATATTTTAAAATCTCCTTTTACCGTTTAACTAGACTTTGATAACACTCTTAGTGGTGGAGTCATATCTGCCATCACCCTTAGAGAACAGAGTTCACAATGAATTTAAACAGCGGACTATAAGGTTATTTTTGTTTTCTCCTTTAACTCTTCAAGTTAGAATTAAAGTTGCATTCCTAAAACAGAACGCTGCCAGGAGAATTACTGGAAGTTTAATGAGGGAGAGGGGTCAGGAGGACAGGCCATCGGGAAGTCAAAGCCACTTCTAACTCTGGAACCTCTCTTCCATCAAGTGGACCTTTTTGTTCTGCCTATTTAGACTTGAAATTTCCTATACAGCGACCTGTGAGGAGATGAGATCATCAATAGCTCCTTGAATCTTATGCAAACTTCATTATAACCAACTACGGAAGCGCTCAAATTGGTTTACATTGTGACATTTTGCCTTGAGCTTACTTAATAGAAATCACATCAAATTTCTGTAGAAATTGGGAGGGGGGGCGGGGAGCGGCGAAGAGAAGAAAAAGCTGACACCCAGGTTGTTTGCAATGAATTTTCAAATGAAACGTAATCTGATTTCAAGGTGCCATTCATCACTGACAGCAACAGGTCAGTAATGTGATCTCTGTTATATGTATTTTCCACAATTTGTAAAGTAAGTGTTAGTGACAATTATCATTCATCTTTAAGCACTACATACACTTAGACTGTTCATCTGGAGAAGCAGATTTTTTTTTTAAGTCACTATGGTTCCCCTATTCATTTCTTTATTTACTGAAAAAAAATTAGACAGTGCCTACAAATGAAATTAGTGTTTTGTTTTGTTTTAGCTGAGCCGTCCTGCCACCTGTTGGCAGCTCAGTGGCAGCTCCGCTTGGGCCGGGACTCGAACCGCTGTTGCTCAGAGCTCGCACTCTTGAGCGAGCTTTTAACCAACTGAGCCACTCGGCCAGCCCCCCAAATGAAATTAGTTTTAAATAATCCTTCCCAAAATGGCCCCTGGAGTCTTGAATCATTTGATATTCTACAACAACTTCTTAGAGCTACAAGGTATTAGTCAGGATCTTGCTGAAATTGCAGCTCATTTTGGGTGGCTTTCAGTGGAGGAGTTGAAGAAAGGAATCCCAGGTGAATGGCTACGGTCAGTGTTCTGGCAGCCTTTCCTCCCTTGGGGGAAGCGACTCCTGAGCTGGTGTGGCAGGAAAAGTATAAACAATGCCCCGTGTGCTTTGGTAGGAGCTTTGATTTCATTCTGCTTCTGAATGACTGAAAAACCTCTGAAAACAACTTTCATGGTTTATGCCACTTTTGTTTAAGTCTCTTACTCTTTTATGGTCCAGAATGACTGGGGTAGCAGAGAAGCAAAGAGAAGAAAAAACTTCTCCCCACCACACCTTCTTCCCAAACCCTGGGAGTAACATCCAGTCATCAGCGTTGTTCAACTAGATAATAAGCCCACTCTCAGACCATAAGAAGCCATTCACCTCAACACTGTTCCTCAGGGTACGGGCAGTGATTAAGTTATTTTGGTAAGTCTTCAAAAGTATTATCTTTTATTACTTTAAAAGACCTACACAAAAACTAGTCCCATTTAAGGAGGACTCTAAGGTCTATGGAAGGAACACTCATGGCTTTAGAGAAAATGACATTTTGGAAAAGTATCTCTAAATAATGACGAGGCAGTTAGAACAATAGGGTAGGGATACAAATTATAGGAAGGTCCCAATATACAAATGGACTGTGTTCTCAACATTTATTTGGATTGGTTGTGTGGTGCTCAGGCCATATTCCAGTAGAAACAGTGTTAATTTACTGAGCCTCTTCAAAGAGCCTGTTTAATGTATGCTGGAACTGAAATGCTGTCAATTGCTAACAAACATAGAATTATTTGCAATGGCATATTTAATATAACAAACATTAATTAGAAAAAATGGTTTCATAACATTTTCTAAAAGCTAATGGTTAAGATAAAACTAATTTAGTTATTTGGCCAATGAGGAGACAGCTAGAAATGTATGGACTCTGAACGGGACTTTAAAAATCAATGGCACGGACTCTTTATTATACATAATTAGAAACTAATAGCTTTTGCTTTCTGACTATTATTCTATATACCAATCATGGTGTTTAGGGGGAGAGAGGGGGAGCTACATCTATCAAAAGGTTTTTCTGTGAGATTATTGAGGTTTTAAGAAAAAGAAGAAAAAGAAAAGCGTTAGGATACTGTTAATTATTTGCATGTAGAAAAGATTGCCTGAGGTAGACTTCATTGATGTCTGAATGGTGGACAGCAGAGAAGAAAGGGAGGGAAAGGATAAGTGAGGTGTGCATCAAAGCTTTGGGAACAAGAGAAGGAGATGGCGCACACTTTGGGTTAGACGCTTCCCCTCTCCATTGGTCACTAGGTGGCGCTGTTCATCCAGGACCCTTGGCTGCTATTAGGACAGTGTCTAGGAAGGGAACGACTGGGGAGGAATGTCTGTCTGTCCTTCCTACAAACAGGTTGTTTGCAAGTCAAGTGCTCCTAACTCAAAAGATGCCTGAACTCTGAAACAAAGTTCAGCATCACTAAATCAATGAACAATTCCAGAGCACCAGCTTAACATGTCTGTCATTATGAAAAATACACACCATGGAATTTAACATTTTACTGAACTATAAAGTTAATTCCTGTCTGCAAATAAAACTATCACTCCAAACCACAGTGATTCAAATGCTGGATTGAACGCTTAAAGTCTCCTACAAACATCTAATAAAATGTTTTATTTGTATACACCTAATCCTTCCAACTTGTCAATTCTTTTTGCAGCTGTAGTAATTAAGATTTAAAGTAACTGGAGTTTTAAAGTCAGTTTCCAGTCATCTCCAGTGGAATAATGAGCTCAATTCTCCCTTCTGTTTGATACTCCTTTGGGTGCACAGTTAAGAAAATCCACCTTTAACTGCCCCAAATCAATTTGTACCAAAGCCAACTCAGACACATCACAGGGAAGCTGCAGAATATTATTACGCTGAACACTAAATTTGCTAGAATTCCTAACTTTCATTTCAAATTTTGGCAAACGTTATTCTAATTCATAGAGATCACTCCCTAAAAGTCACCTGAAATGGGGGCTGCCTTAGTGGGTCACATCTGCAATAGCGAGGCCCTTTTGGCTTGATTTGACACTTCCCTTGCACATGTACTTTTAAGAATCCTGTATAAAGTGGTGACAGTGTTGGTCTTCTCAGTGTGTAATGCATTTTCCTGTTTGTCTTCAGTATGCCATAAAGCCTTTGGTCAAGGAACGGAACCAACGGCCAGAATAATGACATCCAGGGGCGTGTGATATTTGTTGCTAGTGGTGGGAGGTCCTAAGACAAGCAATGATTTAGTTGTGTCTCTCTGTGCTGTTCTGGCAAGAAATACTTCTAGAGCTCACTGTCTTTTCTTAGGGAAGTAAATCAATGGAAAGCTTACACGTTGTAGTGAGAATAGACAATCCCACTAGTGACAGCCAACACGGCTGCTCCCAATTCCTGAATTCCTTACAATTTGACCTGGTTCTTTAGCGGCAACAATGCAGCAACAGCATCATTTTAAAAGGTGTCTATAACCACTGAAGCTATTAAACTTACCGGTTTCCCAAACTCCAATTCCGAAAAGAATTTATACCAAGGTTCATTCTTTAAATCTATCTCTTCTGGGCTTATATCCCGACTCTATAGGGGTTGGTGACAGGGAAATGGAAGAGAGAGAAGGATAACATTATGCAAAGATTACATAGGAACAGGCCAGTAGAGATGCAGTGGCTACCAGGTATACACAGCAGCTATAGTCAACAGCAGCAATCACCCGTTTTTACTGACATTAGCAACATCAGGGAGATAAAACAGGTGGGAAAGGATGGTTGATAAAAACGGGGATGCTGAGGGAGTGAGGGAGCAGCGAGTGAATCATTCTCAGTCGTAGGGCCGAGACAAGCAGGCTGTAGATGGAGAACTCCACACCACACTGCCGCCCTCCACAGCAGATCCGAATGTGAGCATCCCCACATTGTGGTGAAAAGGAAGTCCTCGTTTCCTCTTTACAGAGAACTATTAGTTATGAGCGAATAACCTGGTGAGCACACCAAACATGTAGCCATCTATGCCAGGTGAGTAGAGCAAACGGTTTGGACGGGCTAGTACAGTTTTAGTACTCATTTGTAAGGCTGCCTTAAGGTTTTCAAAACAAATGCAAAAAAAACTGACACTTTTATAAAAGCCAATTTGTTAATACTGCATCTTTAATGGCACATGAGTAGGTGAGAAACCATGTCCCATACACAATAAAGTGAAAGATGATATAAGTAAAAACAGAGGACACAAGTGAAAAAACATTTTAAACGAGCACCCGTGGGTGATGAATACAGACAGAATATACTTTATGTTCTAACAAAGAAATGTTAAAGAATTGGGAAAAAATAAAGTGAAGGAAAAGCTGAACAAGACAGATAACAGAACAACAGCGGGGAAAAAAACTTCTGGGTTATGTTACAAAAATAAATTAGATTTCTCACTTTATATAACTCTAAGAGGTAGTTCACACAGACTGATAATTGATTCCATGGGATTTCATATTTAATCAAATATTTATAAAGTTCTGGTACCTTGCTCTGTGGAATAACATGTGTTTCTGGAAATAATTAGTTGGAAAATGAATGCCTGGAAAGCAAATCAGGTTTCCCCTTATTAAACTGAAGATATGTTCACATCAGACCAAAGTGTTAGAAGCTCATGGCTTAATTAAATTCATATATATATGAATATTCATATTCATATATATTCATATACATATATATCTCACACACATTTCAAAAAACCTTAAAACCTTGATAGTCATGAGAGAGAAAGATCAGGTGACTTTTTGGCAACAATGTGAAGTATAAAATGTACATTTTCCATGGAGATTGAAAACAATATGTAACTTCACTCCCTCAGGGCTACAACACACGAGGAAGGAAGCCGCAAGTCCTGTGGACACATCTTCAATGAGACTGATTTTCAAAGACCCTTCCTTCTGGACACATTTTTCTTGGCGTTCAGTTAACAGGCCTTTTGCAGCTTATAGAAATGGCTGTAAGCTTTCGTAGTGACCTTTACCAATCCCTTCTTCTAAAATCCTTCGAAGAGTCTTTACCATTATTTCTACTTCTGCTTTAAAGAGAGGGAGATATGGCAGAGAACTTTTCTTTAAATTCACTGAATATAAGTTAGATGAAATCAGAGGGAAATATATACTGCGACAGAGAGTCTGTCCTCATGCACCAGATTATATCCTCCTCCAGGTTTCTTTAGGGACTCAGGGCTTAAATCTTGAAGGGGAAGGTGTGTTCCTTCTCAGTGGATTCTGTAATTACGTTAAATAATGGATTCTGTATTTGTTCAGTGAAATGAGGCCCAATACCTCCTACAAGGACACAACTATTCAGGAGGAACAGTTAAGACACTGGGATATCCTAGATCCTTATATGTTGGGGCTTCATGAAACCTATTTCATGTTTATTATTTTTAGAGACTATTTATAAGCTGCTCTCTGGGAATACACTAGGCTTTTTTTTTCCCCCCTTTTAAATAAAGCGTACCAACTCTTTCAGGAAACTGCCTGAATGTTCTGGTATTCAGTCCTGGAAGAATTAACCCATTTTATTGCCGAAAGCTGTTTGCAGAGTGTTTCACTGCCGAGGCTAACAGTGTGCCGAGAACTGAATCAGGAGGAATGTAGACGAGCAGCCAGCCCCGGTCCCTCGAGCTGCCCCGAGAGAAAGTTAAAGAGCTAACACCACACAGCACCAACATCTGCATTTGATTTGCCATTTATAGCTCAGCTGTTGATCCAATTATGAGATGGATAAATAGCAAACGTCCTTCTGGATACACAGCAGGGTCTGTGCAAAGGCAGGCAGGGCAGCTGCTGCAATGCCAGGCTGTGTTCTCGGCTGCCGGAGGCTAGTCTTCTCCCGGCTCGGCAAAATCCCTGGAAAGGACAGGTGACTCACCAGGAAGATGCCTGATTCTCAAGGACAGTTTTGCTGCCTGAACAGGAGCCAGAGACTAAGCTTCACAGGTTAAATAAAGAATCTGAATGTGGTATGTTCATTTGCACGGATTTTATAACATTCATGGTTCTTTTACCTACATGATGGCACTTGAGCCCCTCACTCAATGCTTTAGTAAGGTCGGCAGGCCAGATAATACTTCTGTCTTGCAGAGGAAAACACTGACGTGCAGAAAAGCTAAACGACTTGCCCCCAAGACATAAGGCAGAGTCAGAATTGGAAATCAGAACTCAGATCTTCCAATTCCTAGGCCAGTGCTTTTTATACTAAACCATATTCCACTTCTCATACTCTCCATGAGAAGAGGGGAGACTCACTGAGTTTGCAGATGATACCAAGCTAAAACAGGGCTAAGTGACAAGCCAGGAAGGAACTCAAAGTGACCGTGAACTGGGAAGAAACCAAGTTGGGTAAATCCCCTTGTTTTACACCTCCAAATATATTTCTGTCTGTAATTACTATTTTAATGTCTGCTGTTCCCATGGGAGCGGAGAAATCAACACCTAACCCAGGGCTTGGCATATAAAAGTTATTCTACATATATTTGCTGAGTGGAGTTGAAGTTCTGTAAGGGACTTTCGAGGAAAGTAAAAGGAACAAAGCCTGAAAAGGGCTATTTCTGACAAAGCAAGGACTGACCAATGATCTCTAATGCCAAGAAAATGGATTCACACTATGATAAGACGGGGAGTCAGTAGGAAGAACTTCAAATGAGTTTGCCAAATAGCTGAATAGCTCATCGAAGCTGTAAATCTCCTGGGGGGTATTCTGAAGGTGGTGTAGCGTTTTGTCTATCTGGACTGGAATTGGGTTCACTCCAGGCACAAGATGAGCACTAAGGCAGCCTCTCTAGTCTACCATTCAACTCTTCCCGCAAACAATAGACAGATGTGCCTACGAGGTCGCAATTTAAATCGCCAGGCTTAGGCAGACCTGAAGACCTCAAATTGGGGTGGGTTGGGGTGGCGGTGTCCACTGATTTTTTTTTTTTTGCCCTAAAGGAATTGTGCATTTCTGAGAGGAAATTTAGATTCTACATCTGTTGCTAGTTAGTATACTTATCTAGTTAACAACAAAAGTTGTGTGTGTGTGTTTGGAGGGGGCGGTATCCTCAAATTCTTGCAAGCTAGACACAGGATGCCAAAAGGCAAGACTCATATACCAAAACTGCTATTGCAACTTTTCTGTTCAAAATTAGCAGAAAAAGAATTCAAACATACAGGACTAATTCAACTATTGTGAAGAGTAGACTGTGAAAAAATGAAGATTGGACTGAAATTTCCATCTGTAATGAAAAACTTCTCTTTGGAAAAAGAGTGCTAACTAGAGTAAAAGGCACTAAATTAAATGATTTAACTTAATGGCTTGCCTGGTGCTTACGTCCCATTCCTGGACCCGCCTCCGTCTTGGTACAGCACAGCGGAGCTTCCTGTGTGGGAGCACCCAGATGGTGCTTTGCAATCCATGTGTATGGTCATGACAGCTCTCCAAAGAGAGCCCCTATGGGGCACTGTATGTTAATTTTTAGGTTTGTAAAAACAATATAAATGATCCCAAGGACTATGATATGGAAGATCTTTGTAACCATTGCGGTATCGAGGAGAAAATCAAAACTATGTTGTTGTTTTTTTTTCCCTAGTTCTAAATGGTGGTGAAATTATTAAATAAAGGAGGGGAAAACAAAGAAATTAAGAAAAGGGGCAAGGCCTCAATAAAAGCAATGACCATCTATGAACAATAATATTGCCAAAACAAAAGCTCCCAAAGGCCCACAGAGTTTCTGAAATCATTTAAGGGTATTGATATGTAATGGTGTGTCCCGACTTGTTATTCAAGTGTCAGCAATATACCCAAAGCACAAGATTTTCTTTCCAGGAACGACTGCCTTCTGTGTTTATTATCTTCTAACAGGGAAAGAACCTCCAATGGAGGGTGGAAACAGAGGCAAAATCCTCCACCTCTCTCTGAACTTTCTGCTTAAAATAACCACAGTGCACAGTAAATGCTGAAGAATGACAACTATAAAGCATTCCTGTGAACTGCTCACCTTTTTTCCTAATTAAGATCACTTATCCCTTTGTGCTCTTCAAGATGTCACATTTTTATTTTAGTAAAAGTCACATCAATTATTCCTTAAAAACATCTAGAGCAGCAGAAGAGGCAGAGGGAAAATAATTTGCACCTGTGTTTCAGAGGCTCTCGTGTTTTGTACTCCATGTGGTGGTAACGGCATTTTAATAAAAATCAGTCCCCAGTATGGTAGCTGTGTCCTGCTGGCACAGCTGGAAGGCTGCAATATTTATGGGGCTTTGGAGAATCCCTTGAACCATGATCAGAATTCTGAACCAGCTTTTTCAAATGAAAGGTGCATAAAAAGGAAGCGTGATTGGCAGATCAGAAACGAATCAGTTTGTAAAAATTCTTCCCGGTTTCACAGAAGAGGCTGCTTTTCCAGGGTGGTCTGCTATGCCCGTACAGGCCATTTTCCCCACTTATAATTACTTGGGAGATGTGAACTTGTGTAGGGAACCATAAACCAGACTGAATATGAAATTTGTCCTCAATATTGCACTTGTCAGAAAAGGAAGACCTAAAACACATAGTATAACAGCCCCGAGCTTTTTTTCCAAGTCACAACATCATATTAATTATTTAGCGTTAATGACGTACTACTAGTAGCTTCTACAAAATTTATGCATGTTAAATAAGAGTTGCTTAAAAATAAACCCGACTTTAGTCCAGTTAGTAATAAGCCTGCTAAATTAATGGTTAGATGTTTAATAAAAAGACAGCAGCAAAATCAATCTTTACGTTAGTAGAAAATTTAAAATTAGTTAAAACCACGTACAAAAAGCGCAAGAAAGCTACAATAAGAGGATTCTTTCAAAGCGGACTCTCAGGATTTATTTTATGAATACCTGCAAAAACGAAAAAGGTAAAAATACTTCATTTTTTCATTGTCTTCTAAACAAAGCAAGTCTATCTCAAGGGAGAAAGAATGCAATCCAAGTGCACAATGCATCCGGATTAAAGAACATGGGCAGGGTGAGACAAAAGAACTTTAATATGCACATTACCATCTTTTCGTTGGTCAGAACGGAGGACTTGCCCGGCTGATATTCGTAAATGCTTCTGGGCTCTGCACGGTATTTTCTTGTATCCACTTTCTTATCTGGGGGCTCCCAGTCGTTTCTGTAGAAAGAAAATCCTATTAGAGCTATTTTCATGAAAATTGGCATCCGACACGGTTTGATTTTGGCTGGCTGTAGTCTAATCAAGGAATTTTTATATCCAAAGCATAAAATCTGACTCAGCGCGAAGCATTTAGCTGTGCTGGTTCACTTCTCAAAACAACCAGTCAAATCTCTGTGTTCGCTTTACAAAAAGGCTTGAGGTGTCCAGTGCTTAAAATCAGGCACCAGGAAGCAGAGAGAGGAAAAAGAGAAGGGAGGGAAGAAGCAGCAGCAAAGCTTGCTCTGGCAAAATCCTTCCCCTTGCTCTGCTCTCCCGAGCTTATCATTCCCCAAACGTGCCTGTACTTCCCACTCGTGCTGGCGCAGGGAGAGAGAACTCGGGTCCTGAAGCCACTCAGCTGTGGCTCTAGTCCCTGCTACAGCACTTGGCTAGCGAGTGACCTGGACCAAGCACTTTACCTCTTGCTTAGTTTCCTCATCTGAAATGGAGTTGTTGCAAGGAATAAACGAAACAGTGCAAGTAAATCACCAGGCCCACAGTAACCACTCAATAAATGTTACTTGCTATTATAACCGTGTTCTTTCCTATTCCATACACCCTGTAATCGCTAAAATTGCAGCTTTTGGCACAGATACTTAACCTGATCCAGTCAGTGATGGGTTTCAGAGGATACGTGAATCACTGGAAACTGTTTTCAGATTTTTTATGCATGTACATTATTGCATTTTGCACTGTGATTATAGTTAGTTGTTCCTGCAAGGCTATGAACTTCTTGAAGGCAGGGACAATGATTTATATATGCTTATATTCCCCCACAGCATCTGGTTCAATCTGCACACAGAATGCACCCCGTAGATGCTTGATGAACACACTTGTAAAGGACTTACGGGTACACCCAGCCTTCCTTTCAAATTTATCATCGAACTCCTCAGGCAAATACCACTTGCGCATGTGTGGGACTTCTAAAACAGCCATTCATTTGTCATTGAAGATGGAAAAGGTATGAAGGTGTGAAACTGAGGATGTCTTTAAGGGGAAAATAATTTAGTTTGACTAAATTTATGGGGCTGGAAGATGCCTGGGACACCAGTCCAGGTGGCATAAGATGTTGCTCCATAGACCAATAAGAACTCAATGAGAGAAAATTCGGTTCAGGCATTAAGAGAGGACTAATGTCATCATTACAACCAATCCAAGCCTCATGTCTCAATCGTATATATTGCATAAATAAATTGATATTAAAAAGTCTGCCTTCATATTAAAATTATAGTCTCTGCTATGGGTCCTGTCAGTTGCACAGAGTATAAAAACACATGACAAATCTTATCTTGTGAAAAGGTAAAAAGTGATGGGAATTATAGTTCACATTAGTTAAGCCCAAACTATGAACCAGGCACTACTAGAAATGTTATATACATTGCTTGTTTTATCTTTACAACATCCCTACAAATGTAAAAGTTACCCCCATTTTATAGATAAGGACATTGAGACTTGGAAAGAATAAATCACTGCTAATAAGCAACAGAGCAGAGATTCAAAATTGGGTCTGCTTGACTTGTGGCTCCAATGCTACCTGCCCCAGCAGAGAGAGATGGTACTTCAATGGCAGATTGTATATGACAGCCTAAAACCCCAGGGCTAATTGTGGACGAGGAAGCACTTACCTTTCTGGGCTTGATTTTAGCGAGGAAGAGCGGGCCGGGAGGGGAAGTGTGGCTGACCTCTTAACTACCTTCTCACCATCAATGTAGTTCATTTCACTTTTTGAGCGAGGCACAGAGAAGGGAGATTTGGCTGCAGAAGGAAAGTGGGTACAAAAGACTTTCAAAAATCGATGAAAACTGAAAACACAAAGATGTCTTCCCTCATCCACCACTCCCCTTTCCTCCTCCACAACCACGAAATTCTAAATCACTTACTGTCTTCAGAAAAGGAGTATCGAGGAGAGTACAGATCTGAATCATCATCTATTGAACAAAACAAAATGTCATCAGGAGAAATCCAGCTAAGGGAAGAGCACGGGGGACACGCCCCCCACTTCCGCCGTCCTGTACTGGCACCCGGCCGCACCAGGGAGCCTGGCGGGGAGAGGAGCCAAGCGCAGGAAGCGACACCACAGCAAACCACACTTGACGAGAGCAAGGTCTGGAGAGCCCACCCACCCACACAGGACCTGCAGACCCACAGTCCGGAAGGTCCATTCACGACGCCAGGGGGATGACTGCTGCTGTCGGACACCAAGA